AATACTGGATTAAGTCAAAGAACAAAATTATTTCTGCACCACTGAACGTCATGCACAGCACAGTGATCTCCATTATTTGGAGAGGGATAAAGTCTTCCAACTGGCTACCTGACCCTGAATAATCAGGGATGAAGGACCTTGGACAAAGATGTAACCAAGAACCCAACAGTCACTAAGTAGAGGTCCAGTCTTTTTTTCTGGAAGAAGAAGCAGTTCATCAATCAGCGCTTTGGTGTAGAGAGTGGACAGCTCTCTCAAATTTTTCCAAAATTTACTTTAAAAGTTGTGAAACCAGGAGAAACTAAATTAAATTAAACTGGCCTGAATTTCATGGCAGGACAAAAACATACAGGTGGTAAAACTGCAATTTATTGACTTGTGCACATGATTCTTAAGTGAAAGTAGATTCTTAAAAAACACAGTATTTATGCAGGGGCTCATCCAGGACATCTTGCATGCTACTCAGAACAGCTGTATAGCACAATTTGACTTGCTAGCACCAAGAACTTCCCCCATGATTCTTCCTCCTTCATGTTTCTGTCCCTGCCCCCACATCCACAGCCTCACAGAGTGTCGCCCTGCTCAGATTCTCTGTGTGCCTTGTGTCAGATCAATAATGCAACCATAAATTTCATTTAAATAAACATTAGTGGCCTACTTAATTAATGAAACCTCATCTGCAATTTGTCAGTGTCAGAAGTGGTAACCCCTTTGATGTTGGTATGAATATTCCTTTTCAGAAAATGAAGCGCTCGCACGATTAGCTCCTATTGTGCCGTTAGCCTGTTCCTGCCTTTCCGCAGCTCTGCCTGGATCCGCGCGCAGCTTATCAAGGGTACACAGCATCGGCAGATTAAAATCATTTACTGAGCCGAGAGGACAATGGGAGGATGTAAAATGAGTGTGGGGAAACATGATGAAAAATAGTGGGGCTGAATATCTAATGAATCTAATCTACATACAAGCAATCTGACCAAATGCCGGAGCAATTCCAGGGCCCATACATCAAATAGTACACGACATTAACGTTGAATCAGCTTCAGAGAGGTTCACACCCATGAGCCATAATACTTGATAACCGACAGGGTTAGGAGAGATAAATAAAAATGAGAAATATAAAACAAACCATCATAATGTGAGATGAGTCTCTGACCCGTCCTTGTCGGTGCGCGAGAAGCAGCTGCTCATGACCCACTTTCACTCGGATACATAATTCAGCGGTGAGCGACACGACTTCCACGCCACCATAAAAATATTCATCAAAACGAGCGAGCAAATCTTCTTTAGCAGACTCGCTAACAATCCAGCATCAGCTGGGGGAACAAGTCACAAAAAGCCTCCCCGACCTAAATAAGTCAAGTTTATCAACTCGCTGCATGATTTACCGAGTTTAAAACATTCAAACAGGACTCATTAATGATTAAATTAAAAATCAGACTGACAGCAGTTCAGCACACTCGCAAAAGAGGCGCAATAACGCCCGAGAAAAGATCACCTGACAGTCAAAATATGTTGGTATGAAAGCATAAAGATCAAAACAGCAACAGAAAACAGCACGGACAGGAAAGATCTGCTGAAATTGTGCAGCTTTATCCAATATTTACAAAGGTTGAAAACACAACAGTGAAAGGAATAAGAAATGTACGCTCTGCAAGGCACTGCAGAATGCTGTAATTTATAAAATAAAACAGAACAAAGCAAACAAAAAAAATATATCCCACATACAGTTGAACCTTTTTCACATAAAGTGGTGCTTAATTGTGAAGTGGAATGAAAATGATGCATGGTTATAAAAATGTTTTACATATTAAAATCTGGCAATCATGGCACTGCATTTATATTCACCCCCTTTCACTCTGACACCATTAAATATTTTAAAGTGCAGCCAATCGCCTTCCGAACTCACAGAAATGGTAGGCAGGATTATAAAAACATTTGCAAACACTAAAGACAGAAATTAATGATGTGTGTAAAAAGGTTACCAGTCTTCCAAAGAGTGGACACCCCCAAAAAATCCCCACAAGATCAGACTGTGAAATGCTGAGAGAAACTAATAAAACAAGAGTTATACCTCAGACACTAAAGTTGTTTGTTTTTTTTCCATTGAAGCAAAAGAACAAGAAAAAAAACTCTCTTTGAAAGGGAGCAAAGTAAGTCTCTGTTCTCTAAACTAAAGTAAAACATCCCCTCAGTTAATGAACCACAACTGGCCAGATCACAATGTGAGGTGAAATTAATACAAATACCCCAAAACAACTCCCAAGGTTGGTGGAAGAAGGGTGATGATATGTGCTTAATGGGATGCTTGTCTTTATAAGACGTTGCTGATGATTCACTAAAATTTGTCAAAATGTTGTCTTTTCTTTTTAAAGACGCATTTTGGTGAAAATCGTAAAAATAAACGATTGCAATGGCTTTGCATTTCCCCCCCCACCAACCATGCAATGACTGTACAGCCCCAGGTTGGACTTGTAGATGAAGGTCTTAAAAATCTATTTTAAAAAAAATATAGGTGGACTTGTAGAAAAATACAGCTAACAAGAGCAAATCATTCAATAGCCATAAATACTACAGACTGACATTATTCAGGCTGTTTATGACTTAAATCCATCAAACTGGAGCCTTTAACTGTGCTGGTCAGACATGCAGAAAAGTTACAGAGAAACTACACGTGTAAGACTGCTTCATTCATATATTATAGTAAAAAAAAAAAAAAAAAAAAAAAATAGGTTATAGTATTAAGAGTCAAGCTGATTAAAGTTCAAGGTGTGAAGGAGACTGGATAAAAAAGGAGGAAATGACTCCCCATCCCTCTTTGGGACACCTGAAATAGGCCAGAGGCTGGCTTCCTCCTATCAGAGGAGTCCTGGGATGCCTGAGAGACTGCAGGGAAAAGAGGACAGGGAGGAGGTGTTGGGGTGGGGGATTCAGCTGGGCCTTAAGTGTGCTATCATAGGCACCTCTTGTGCCTGCCTGCTTTATTTGCAGTAGTCAGGTTAATGAGTCCACCAGCCCACTTGATGTTGAGAGGCCCACCACAAAGAGCTGCCTCATTAGAGCTAGCCTGGCACGCTACTCTGAGACAAAGCGACATTCACGCCACTGAATGCCTTTATGCTGCTCAATGCTGCCAGCCTGCGAGGGCCAACGCCATGGCATACCCCCCTCCTGACCCCTCCCCACCCCCATCCTGCACGCGTTCTGGCACCTGGCCAGCCACACCACGACCCTGAGGCTGAGCAGACTGCAAGGGGTGCAGGCTGCTGCACTCGTCTGAGGAGCGGTCGGGAAGTAAGCAGAGATCACATGCAGGAAAACGTTCGACTGAATTGTTTCCAAACTCTTCTCTGCTTTGCCTCCGTTTTTACCCTTTCCTTTATATCCAAGTCTTACCTCAACCCTTTTTAGTTCCCGAGCCATCCGTCAAATTACAAAAAAAAAAAGAAGCTCCTGAAATTGTTATTCTAAATATATTCTCAACTCATCTTGAAATCACAATCGCTGCCCTCACTGTATCTAATTAGTGTGACATAATGACTGAAGTGCAGTTAGAGCGTCGTGACAGGAGCGCAGTTTCTGTCTGTGATACAAGGCGCTTTATCAGCCCAGGTGCAGGTATGACCTACTTAATGAGAGCTGTAACAAGGTAATTCAAATGTCACAGCTACGTGTAATTTCATGGTTTGCAGCTGGGGGTGACAAACTCCGTTTCAGCAAGACATTGAGCGTAACAACCAAAATAAAGTAACGAAACATGTGTACGTTGAGCCGAAAGATAAGCGCAAGCAGACGTCATAACGATCCTATATGTGTTTCAGGTCTAATATAACTGGCCAAACAACAGAGTGCCTTGCTAAGGAATTTACATCCTTTGATTTTTTTCCCCCCATGTTGTCCTGTCACAACCCCAAACTTCAATGTATTTTGTTTGAGTGATAGACCAACATAAACGTGCAAAATTGTGAGGTGGATGGCAATTGACACAGTCTCAAATATTATTCACAGGTTTGCATTTTCATTCAAACCTCAGTACTTTAGTACCCATAAATAAAATCCTTTGTAACCTCTTGCCTTCAAAGTAAATATATTCAAGTCTTTGGACCTATCAGAGGTTAGTTAGATAATATAAGTGAACAAAGACCATTATGAAAACCGAGATACACCGCAGACAGGTTAGGGAGAAAGATAAAGCAGAATTATGTTATGAAACAATAGTTCAAGCTATGTAAATCTCACCAAACTATGTTCAATCAGTGACCTGAAGAAGAAAAACATATGGCAAAGTTAAAAATTTACCAAGAAATGCCAGTCCACTAAAGCTGATGGGTTGGACAAGGAGAGCATTAAACAGAAACGTAGCAAAGACCAGGTAACGCTCAAGTAGCTGTAGAGACCTACAGCTCAGGTGGGAGAATTGACGTAACATCCGCCTCCATGCGGAAGTAGATCAAACCTCCGGCAAACAGTGATGGAGGTAGTGGAACTCAATGCATCAACCAAGACATTTTTTACTTCATTAGCCAACACTGAGGCAAATATGACAGGCAAGAAAATTCTCAAAAGAGTCCTACGTTAGGTCTGTAAGTTTTTTATTTTTTATTTATTTTTTTTTTGTTTTGTTTTTGCAGCAAACAACAGAGAAATCTACGTTAAAGCTAAAGTCTTTAGCAGCCAGAGGAAAAATGGTGCACAAAGTTTCACTGAATGTGAGAGTGAATGCTGCGTCGGATGTACAAAATGGGTGAGTAATGACTTTTCCTTAAGGTAGATTTTCACAAGCCTGTGAAAATCTACCTTAATGAAAATACTTAGAAATAAACATTAGCATAAAAAGATGCTAAATTGCAAGTACCGCAGTTACAATAGCACATGTTTTCAAGCTCAAATAAAGGAACCATTGGAATTTACACACATAAAATCAAGCATAGCTACCTAAACTTATTGACAGCTTTGACTATAAACGTTGTTATGACTAAAAAAAGATGTTTGCTACCAGTTACCTTCATACAGACGAACATGTGGCAGTTGCCGTCGATCACAGTTTCATTCAACTGGACATGAGGTCAGCTGCAGGCCTTGATCCATTTCTTGCATTATTCCGGACTCCATTAGTTTTGAAAATCTAATAAATTGTGTTCCGTCCTCTGTAATAGCTGTCGGGATTACATATTCCCTACTGGCAACATTTGTACATGATTTCTTGTTATTTTCCTCAAATCTCTATGACCGCAGTGTGACAAGCCCCGACAATGTTGACGGAAGTGACGCTCCTCCAGGTAAGAGGCGTGCACTTCGCGACAAATAGCGACCGCTGATTGGTCAGTTGCTGACAAACCCGCTAGAATGATTGACAGGCGTGGTCGTCAATTATGTTGAGAGGATAAGTATCAGAGGCGCCTTTATAAATCTGATCTTTATTAAAGTATGGCAAGGAGAAAATAAAAAGAAACAAGTCGCTTGTTGTGCAACAATAGGTTTGATTTAGCAACAAATCCATGACAAAGGCAAATAAAATGATTTCTGATTCTTATATTAACAAAACTGGTGATTTAAATCAAAATCACCAAGTTGGGGTTACACCTTATTATCAGGAAACAATAGCCAAATAGATTTCAGTCTCAGTTATTGCGTATGATGCCTGCAAAGCAGGTACAAAGCATGAACTGTGTTAAACATGATCTATCACATACAATTACAATAAAATCCAGTTGTGGGTTTGTGACAAAATGTAAAACATGTTCAGTAGTAGTGGCTTATCTAGTTTAATTTATTCTACATGGCAGTTTTGTAGCTTTGAGTAATTGTCCCTTCAAAGAACATTACTCGGCATGGACAATCCTGCGCTTCAAACATCTTGCTCTACAAAATGTATTCAAATCTCACATAGGAAAAACAAGATGTTTTTTTTTTTTTTAGGTTTCCACAAACCCTGCTTTCAACTAAGAGATGACACAAAGTTTTATAAAGTAATGTGCAAATTCCACCTATGCTTCACAGCTGTTGTAAAGGAGCAGATTAGGCAATATTTAAAAAAAGAAAAAAAAAACAAATCTCTCCCGGCTTCAGGTCAGGAGTCAAATATTTTCTGCATAGGCAATACGCTGTCTCCACCACACTATTTATAGCAGCAGGCAGAAACAGCTGAGCTGACTGCAGTGATGTCACTGGCGCTGATGGAATGCTTTGTTCCTCGGCGCGTGCGCATGCCACCTGCGTGTGCGCGAGCTGCAGCGAAGGACCAGGATGCAGGAGCCAAAATGGCTGAATATACATACACACACACACACACACATATATATATATATATATATATATATATATATATATATATATATATATATATATATATATATATATATATATGGCAGTGTTTGTGTTTATAAAAGCATCCATATCACTGAAAGCCAGGTTTCTAATAAGCGCCGTAACCTTCTGAAAGCATCCAGGCCTCAGTCAAGGGTGTCCGTGTTAATGCCACGGAGGGAATCAGTGTTTGTGGATGCCATTTGAAACTCGGAGCAAAATAACATCACGCTGCAGCTGAGAGCAGGAAAACATCTCATGCACGGTCTGAAGCGCTTAATGGTTCCGAGCTTCCCCCCCTCTCAGCATTCAGCCGTGGCGTTCAAGAAGCACCATACCCACGTATATATTTTTAGTAAGCCTTTGGGCTTCTTTCAGTGTCCCTAAAAGAGCATGGTTGCCCGGCAACCGTTATTGTTGCCATGGAGATTCATGTGTTGGCAGCTGCTGCAATCAGCATCAACTCGAGGCTGCACGTTCCCATTCCGATAGTCAGGCAGGCGATGAGGAAGGCAGCGAGGACACACAGCCAAAGAGAGAGAGAGAGAGAGAGGTTAGTAATCAGTGTGAAACATACATTCATCCTTTATCCCACTGCATTAATACAATTACATCAAGAAGAAATTTATGGCCGTGCTTTGGTGAGATGATCACACTGCAGATGGAGGAATAAAACTCCACCTCGGAGCCTAACTGATCTAGTTTCACTGAACGCAGTGGGACGATGCTGGTTTGCTTCCGACACAAACAAAAAAAGAAAAGAAAAAAAAAACAATAAAATGCTACATTTCAAACTGCTGCTGAAATGTGATGTCGATTCAACTTGTTAGCAAGGATAAGTGATATTTTACCCCCCTTCCAACCTCTATAGGAGTATGCATCTGTGTCCAAAGGAAGAATTGTAAACCCTGTTGAGAGTAAAAATGCATTGAATTCATAATAGCTGTTATTTCCTCTTCGGGCATTCCCCCCTTTCGTCTTCCTTTTCAGCTCTACCGTCGTTTCACTGTTGACATCACAGACCAATGTGGGGATAAAGAGGCAGAGAAAAACAATAACAGACCCATTGACCCCCATTTCACAAACCGGGGGGGGGGGGGAGGGGGGGGGGGGGGGGGATGTCCACTTACAATGCTGGAACAGACTTACTGATTTGGCGTCAATGGGTTTTCTATTGGAGGGAACAGGGAAAGTGCAGCTCCAGGTCCTGACTCCGGTCCAGTCCTGAGCGCACAAGCTCCCACACGGATCTACACCTGTTCTCTGAGACCTCTAAAATTGTGTCAGAGAGACAGCTGGAGATGTTGTGAATTAGAATTTTGTTTAATCAACTAATAAATAATTTTACTTGGAATTACAACATGCAGTGGTATGTTTGAATTCATTTACTTCTCTTAATTGTGCTTATAGCCAGTAGAAATTCCAAATTTGGTTTCTCCAACTGTGTTAATAGTGCATAAAAAGAAGTTGTGTATATAGAAATGTCAACCTATTAAAAAGTAAGTCCTTTTGCATAAACGACTTCAGCAAAGCGCCTGATACGCTGGTACCTTTCGTCGTCTTCTTAACAGTACTCCATAGCGTTCTGGGAGGTTTAGGTGAGGCCAGTTTGCGAGATTATTAGGAGCAGGGATGCCATGCCTATGACTATGACAGGTATTACATCCTACTGATGAATAAAATCAGCACCTCTATAACGTTTTTTTTTAGCTCGAAGACAACACAGAGTCACACAGGACAAATAATCATGCACTCAGTTACACCTAAGGGCAATTTAGAGAGACCTGAGAGTCATTGTCTTGGACTGCAGGGGGAAGTCAGAGTACCCAGAGAGAACCTACGTCTGCACATGGAGAACATGGAAACTGCAAACTCTGTGCAGAAAACCTTCAGGCTGGGATTCAAACCCAGGACCTTCAAGGCAGATCTGCTCCACTATGCAGCCTTACTTTGAAAATCAAATTGAAATTGATTCTCATCTGAAAAGAGGGCACTGAAGTAGCATTTCTTCTTGTCGATTCAGGTTCAGGAATCAAAGAGTTGTAGATCACGTCTTAACTTTGTTTTACAATCCTCTCAAGCTCATGGTTAACCTTGTTACTTGTGCATCCGGCCAGGTGATAAAACAATAATATCTTTGTCATGTGATCAGTATTAATTGATTTGTTTTGATCAATTTCAATAAATTCTGATCCAGAACTGCACAGCATTCTGGAGGTTTGTAGGCAGAGAAAAAGACTTTAACCACTCAACATCGGCCCAGATAGGAGAGCTTTGTGCAATCAACTAACTCATTCACTCTTTGGTTACCTAGCAACAGCTTAAGTAACATGGGCAGGAGCAGTTTCCTGTTGCCGCCAACATCCTCAGGCGTACTTCACTCCTCAGAGGTCAAAGCGGACTCAAAGCGGACATCTGCACAAAGGAAAATTTCTACAACCACGAACGCATACGCATTGAGCACTGGCACAGGAAACTGCAAGATGTTCACATCGAACTGTTTTGTGTGCGGCACCGCGCTGACAATGTTGAGAGTCAGCTCAACCAGTCGCTCAATCACGATGCATACTGTGATTGAAGCTCTCTGTGCAGCACTGATAGGTGTGCAGTGGCCGCCCTGGTATAGAAAAAACGGGGCTAGGTTTCTATTAAAATTCTGGGAATCACAGCTGCTGGTATTTTACTGTAAATTAGAGACTTTTTTTTGCTGTGTTCTTTAAACATGTGGTGGTGGACAAGAGGACATTATGGATGAACAACCAGCTTTTTTAGCAGACTCTTTGTGGTGTCTGTGACAGATTGTTAGACGACTGTTCTCCATGACTGTGTGGGCAATAATCCACCTATAAAACTAAATTTCTGAGTCAATCATACTTTCTTTATTGGTCTCATGCAATATGCAAATTGTAAGCTGTATTTTGGGGTTTAAAGATAAAATGAACAGAAATAAATAATTTGTATGCTTATTTGTACATATGAAATATGGGTTTGTCTCTTTGAAGTAAATTGCTGAAATGAATTACCTCTTCCGTGTTATCGTAATTTAGTGAGAGGCATCTAAGTGTAGATCGGATGCTGCTCTGAGCACTCTTTAAAATAACTGTGACCAGGAAAGATGAAGTAGGGGCACTCCAATAAAAGCCATTAGAAGTGAATGATTTCCAGGGAGACGAGCACCTGTGTCCAAAATGAATCGGCTTGTTTAATTCGATTTCATTTTATGGGCACACAGGTCAGATAAAAAAAAAAAAAAAACGTTTGTCGCATATATTGCTGTAAACACCGCTCTTTCTGAAACAAATCAAGACAAGGCAGCTCATTTTGGATTAACATTAAAGTCTGCGTTCACAATGACCCTTCCACCAGTGACTTCACTAAAACGAGATCGTAGTTAATGGTTCGATAAATTTCCCTTCCTTTACGGCTATAATTGCCTCGCACGCAGCAGAAACGTATCTTTAGGAGTTGGACGTGAGGATCTCCTGGCGTACGCATGAGAATAGAGGCTCACCTCGCTTTCTGTGGATGCTGCTGGTTGACATTTAACATCACAGAGAGAGGGGAGGTGGAGAGCCCGGTGCCCTACATGCACATTTGACCCCCTGCTAATGTCAGAGGGGGAAGGTCCCAAACACACTCATCCGTACTTCGCTCACACAAAGCACTACCAGAGTACAAAGTATCTATCTCTGAAATTGCAGAGGCTTTACTAACTTCATAATGTTTATTTAGAGAAAGGTATAATTTAATCCGAGACAGCTACAGTGCAGGTAACTGATGGCAAAGGTTTACGCTGTGCTTTATCAGCAGAGTCTTTTGCCTCCGTTTCCCAACCAAAATGTGTCGCTCTTTTTACAAAAAATACTGAACAATATCTATAGTTATCCTTAAGTTTGTGACGCTTTAAAAGACCAGTTATTTCCTATCTGGGGAATTGTACAAACGTCTTAACCATATACTTTTGTTGTTGTTGTTGTTGTTGTTTGTTTTTTGGAGGACGTTACAAACACAGCCAGCAGGCCTGCAACCCAGTGCAGCTGACCTGATTCTGCTTGCACGCAACCATGAAATAACAACTGCTCTTTGGAGTCTGGTGCTAGCTCGGGGAACGTACCGTCCCTGCTCGGGTGGAGCATGTGGGCAAACCTCACCATCAGGATTTCGTAAGAAGTAGAGAGGGAGAGAAAAAAAAAGAAGAAATCACACAAGAGGTCACATTCTGAAATACAAAAGCAGGCATTTGCTGGGCAGCCCTTTAAATGTGTTTCTTGCACGTTTACATGCATTTATCTTCCTATATATATATATATATATATATATATATATATATATATATATATATATATATATATATATATATATATATAAACTCTATTTTAAAGTCAGAGCGATATAATGCTATAGGAGCTAGCATGTAGGATGTCTGTTGGGTGGGGGAGGCCTTTGCTGTACGACCCAAAACGTAAGGAGGGAGTGAAAAAAAGCTCATCTGTTCCCGGCAGCTTATAGAGCTGCAGAGCGCACATCAACCATTGTCTGCCTGCACAGAGTTTTTTTTTTTTTTTATGTGCATCCTTCTGCTACAGGCTGCATTATTATTTGTTTCGTCGCAAAGAGTCCCAAGCAGATCAACATCGACGCTAAATTATGTATTTAAATGCGCACAAGCAAAAAATAAATTATTTCTTGCCGTCAAATTTAATCTTAAATAGAAATCCTATATGTAGAAAAATAGAGTATTTTTTTGGGTAACGTGGTTAAGCTGAATAACAAATGGCCTTTAGAAAATAATAAATAAAAAAATTATAGTCCTCGTCGGAGATGCTTCTGCGCATTTAAACACACCGGAGAGAAAACGACGCATATTCAGCGCTGCCTCCGTGACGCTTATTGCCTGCGCTGTTATTGTCTTTAATATATATATATATACATATACATAAATAAAGTGTCCTCTTTTCTGTCCTTTGTTGTGGAGGATAAACTGCCTCTTTGCGACAGAAATCTTGCTCCGGGGAAACGTGCAGCGAGTATCCAGCAGAAGAGCAAATCAAATCCAAAACCGGTATGTTTCCAGAAGTGGCTCCAACTTTTCCAAACTTCTCTGCGCAAATGATGGAATGTGCTACTGCAGCCGGTGGTCATTTCTTCCTCCTTCCCTCCCTTTTACGCCCCTCTTCTCGCCCATAGTTTTTTTTTTCTCCTCCAGCAAAGAGGGCTCAGTCTCTGGCTCTTGATTAATAAATGTTTATGTGTTTTGAAGTGGAGCACAAAAGCGGGGTTGGCCTGTGACCCTTGGTAGCCCCGACCTTACGCGGGGTTCATTGTGAGGCGCTGGGAACGGAGACCCTGGGGCCACTGGCCCCCCCCACTCCCTCCCACCACGCACACACACACACACACACACACACTCTTGTAGCCATTCATGTGCGCACCCCTGCTTGTCGCCCCGCAGCTTCCATTGTTTCAGTGGGAACAATGGCAGCACCTCCCGTCCTCCTATCCCTCCATCTCTCTCTCTCTGCAAAAGAAAACGCAGCTTTTCAAACTTCCCTCTATGTGCAGCCTGACGCAAGCCCGGGCAGAGTTTCCCCTCGAACCCTTCAAAATAAAGAAGAAGAAAAAAATGTTGACAAAACGTTAACACTCTTAGTGGTGTGATCGCTCATGTTGCATCACACGCAAAGGTTGCGTCACTGCATAGTGGATTCTTTCAAAGTCCATCAGTGAAGCAGAATGAAACTGGGGGACAGAGGGCTGGATGCTGACGCAAAACCTGCATGTTCATTTTAAATGCACAATTTGAACAAGTTAGAAGTAACTACACGTTGGTGGGGTTCCCTTGTGCTTTACCTTGGCTGCAGGGCTGGTGAGGTTACTCAGGTGACATCATGTATGCTCCAGGGGCTCGACTGGATCTTTGACTGGTGGCCAATCACTGCAGGAAGTAAAGAGGGGAGATATAAATACTGCAGTCAATTTCCTCTGTCCTGAATGCACAAGCAAGAATGCAAGAATGTGTTTGCACTAATTGCACTGAGTCGTTGACTTGCAGCATTCACTCTTTCTATAGACGAACACAAAGAGTTCGTCCAGAAAGCGTTGCAATGTGTTGTTGATTTTACAGCAATCCGTTATACCAAGTATGCATGTAGCAACAGTGGAGAGGAAAAACTCCCATTTAACAGGGAGAAACCTCCAGCAGAACCTGGCACTATGAGTGGCCATCTGCCACGACGGAGTGGGGGTTTTGAGAAGAACTGATGTAGGAGTAATTTCTATGTTAATGAAAAGTAAAAAAAAAAAAAAAAAAAAAAAAAAAAAAAAAAAA